TCTCATCCATAGCACTTGTAATGTCCTCCATCAGGTCGGTTATGGCCAAAGATGTCGAACGGTTAGACCTAAAATCATATTGACAATCAGAGAGGATTTTATGTTTATCAATAAATGTATCTAATCTGTTATTAAAGAGTTTTTCCAGAATTTTTGAAAATTGTGACAACAGAGAAACCGGCAGCAGTAATTAAAGAGAGTGTGTGAGAGGTTTGAGTATGAACAAGGCTGCCTATCAACAGGCTGCTACACCCTCAATTAGAGACATTTCCTCTCTTTAATTGCCCCCAGTGAAAGGGATTTAGTAGGATTATACAAGCAAGGACACTTCATTGTGTCCTCTACGTCTTCAGAGTTCTTTAGCTCTGTTTGTGTTTTGTGTGCTTAAGAAAAGCTGTTCACAAAAAGACCAATCAGATGTTTTTTGAGGCCTTGTTGGTGGTATGTACTGAGTGTTTTGACTTTTTCAATACATTAAAGTGCACAAATTGCAGTATAATTTTGTTTTTTCAACATTATTGGGTATCAGTTAAATTCTCACCAGTACCTGCGATCTCTAAATCAGACCATAGTTAAAATTGAAAAAAATGAGTGGCTAGGAAAGAAGGGATATTTTATGAGGGAAGTAAAAATAAGGTCAGGTGTGTACATAATCACAAGATAACAATGCAGTGCTAATGTAAAACCTGAGTAATAATACTGACATTTAAATGTATACATTATATATGGTATAATTTAAAAATGCAGTGTACTTATAAAGAGTGGAGGTATATTAAACTAGCCAAAATAATTTGACAAAACTCTTTCTCTACTCATTGTTCACTTACTGGAGCTTTTCTGGAACGTTCAACTATGCCACAGTCTTTATCAGCTGATGGAGTTTGCTCAGATGTCTTGGGGATGGATCTGCTGACATGGAAGCTCAGCAGACAATTGATATGATTTTATCTACAGCACTTTGCAACATTTCACAAGAGGGAGTAAGCTGAGGGACTCAAAAATTGAAGTATCTGAGATACATGTATCTTGACTCTCAGTCTGTAGTATGTGCTAACTGTAAGCTCCAAAACTGTTGGGTCCTACATTTCCCATAATGCATGTCAGGGGCATTTCTTAGCTCGATGACCCTTTCTGTTATAAATTTATTGTGATATCATTGCAGCTATTAGACTTGGCATACAGATGGGTTACAAGTTGAAAGAAAACCCGGAAATAAATGAGTGATCTCTTCCAGCTCCTTCAGAACCACAGATGACATTATACAATTGTTTTCACCTGGTAAGTGATACATATCCACACCTGCAAACTGAGTTCAATGTGTAAAAATGATACCAGGAAACAATTAAAAAGTAAAAGAGTTTGCATATTTTTCTCTATTACACTATGCTTTATTCTTGTGTTATCATCTGATATTTAGTAAAAATATACAACATGTTTTAATTCTGATTAATCATAGTTCAAGCTCACGCTGGTCTACACCTCACTCTGTGTGCATTCTCAATACTGGAATATGTTACTGGGTGACAAAATACGGACTCTAGAAAAAGAGGGTATACTTTAGCATCCGCAGGAGAGGGCCTTGTGTTAAATATAAAAATATACTTCAGATAGTATCCTTCTGCATTAGGTGTAATGGTAGATCAGTGATTAGAAGCCACAGACACAGTGAAGGCTGATGAAGTTATGGTTACCACAGTTTATTAAGACATTTTTGTGGTAATTGTTCATGCTATTGTATCTACACATATTTTTCAAAATCCAGTGTTATATTGCAAAGTGCAAATAAAGCATTATAGTTCAAAGTGAGAGATCCAAACTATTGTTCATCTTCTGTAACTGCAGCAGAGGGATTAGCAAAGACTGCAGTCCACAGGATTTGTCATGTTCTGTTCTGATCATGACAATAATAGAGAAATCATGGGGAACTGGTTGCTGGACTATACCCTGCTGTGGCAGGGATCAGTACCTGTTTTTCCAGTGATGAAAGGTGGATGTGAAACAAATTTGTGGTTGTCATTAGTTTTGTTTTTACTTTCTAATGCAGGTGCTATATATTGTTGCTGTACAGTGCAATGTGAAAATAGCACATACTGCAGTATCATTGTTATTTTTATTATTCAGCCTGTTGTTCTAAGACTTAGACGTATAGTTAAACTCCAGTTACTCAGGGAAACTCCAACTCTGTTGCTTAAG